TGGTGGAGGCTCCCGCCCTGGGGTTTTTTAAGGGGAGGTTAGATGCCCATCTTGCTGGGGTCGTTTGACCCCCAGTCCTCTTCCCTGCCATGGCAGGGGGTCGGACTAGATGATCTGCCCAGGTCCCTTCCGACCCTAGAAACTATGAAACTATGAAACCGCCCGTGCCACACGCTGCGGCTGCGCTACCCCGTTGAACCGACCACGCTGCAGGGAGCGCAGGGGGTAGCACTGGGCCAACGCAAGCCGGAGCCTCCCCAGGCCTGGGGCTGGTGGCAGGGAGCGAGGACACAGACCACGAGAGCCGGTGCAGCAAGGGCACGATGCCCCTTTATTCTCATACAGCTCGGAACGGGGCCCGGAGCCCGTGGCACGGGGAGGGGCGCGGGCACAGTCATGCACGACGGACATGCGGGGGGGCTCCGGTACGCACAGCAGCAGCACAAGCCAGCAAAGCCGCCCCTCCCCGCAACCCCAGCTCCTCCCCACCTACCCCACTGGGGAAGGGGAAGCCAGCCCTGCCCGAGCCCCAGAGCCAGCAGCTGCTCTGGGTGCCCCCGCTGCCCTGCCGAGGCGGGGAGAGCCTGCAGGGCAGGGCAGGGCAGGGCTGGGGCTGCAGGCACAACACAGCATGGCACCCCGGAGGGAGGGGAGCGGCAGGGCCGCCAGGGGCCGGGGTTACGCGGCACTGGGCGGCAGGCCACGCGCAGGCATGGGGGGCTGCAGTGAAGCCCACCACTCGCAGAGCTACAGGCTCTGGGCCCAGACTTACAGGCTGCAGCCTCCTGCCCCGCGCCCCTAGCGGCATCTCCTGGCCTGGACAGACAGGACCAAGGCAGACGCATACATCCGGGATTGGCACAACAGCGCAGACAGCGAGATGTGACCCCGTGGCACCGCGCCAGCCCGCGGTGGCACAGGCAGAGTGGGCAGGGCCCACGGGGAGAAGACAGACAGGCCGGCAGGGGAGAGGGGCCAGGACAGGACACGGGGACAGTGCAGCAGACGGCCGCAGGGAAAGGAAGGCCGCCGCGCAGCCGTGTTTCACAGCACCCAGGAGCCCCGGTTCCAGTCTTGCCCACGCACCTGTCTCCGTGCTAGGTCACGGGCAGCCGGGGTCTGGCACCCACGGCCAGCACAGAGCACTGCCACCGCTGCTGCCACAGCTGGGGCCAGCCCAGGGCTAAGGAGGGAGGGGGCAGGGAGCACCTCTGCTACAGGCTGGGACTGCCCTCGAAGCAGCCGGGGAGGGAGGGAGGGGACACCCCATTCAGAGGCCCACACCCCTCGACTCCACACCCTCAGCTAGAGCCACATCTCTACCGATGCAGCCCCCAGCCGGAGGCCCTGGAGCTCTGTCTATACTACAGCTACTTTCCCTCCACAACACACGGGCAGCCTCCTGCTGGCAGGGCCCAGCGTCAAGAGCAGCAGGCGGGTGAGGCCAGCTGCCACCGTCAGCTTCCCGAGGGCAGGGTGCCCCTCCGCCCTGGAGCCACCCTGCTCCTGGGGAGGAGTCAGTCCCTCTCTGGCTGCCAGCGATGCTTGGGCAGGGCCCCGCTGCACAGCCCCAGTCCCCCAGGCGCTCCTGCCCCCTTGATATCTGCAAAGCCCCGCTGGGGAAGCAGCTGTCCCAGAGCACATGGCTCCTGCCCCTGGCGCCCTGAACCCAGGCAGGACCCAGAGACCTGTCAGGCACAGGCAGGCAAGGGGCTGCGGGCTGATACGGTTGGGTGGGTCCCTGCTCTGCCTGGGGAGACCAGTGCAGCACCGGGGGAGCCGAAAGCAGTGCAGGGCGCGGGGGT